CGACTAGCTACAGGAGCATTACTCAGGGTTACAAAATAATAAAAAAAATTAAAATAAAGTGGAAATTTGTAGAAACGGGAAGTGAAAATGCGGCCCAGGGTGTATATTTTACGATTTTTTTCAAAATGGTCATAATTTTTAAAATACATGACATAGATTTTATTTTTTATTTTTCTGATAACAGATATGACCTGGCCTATCACCCCGTTCCGGCTTGACGTCGCGTCCCGGGACACCCTGTATATTGATAAAATTCACACATGAAACCAAATATTGTCGTAACTCAAAAGTGATGGCATGTAGAAAACATTTATTTATTATTAATAGGCGTGCAGCTTGAAGCTGATATGCCTATATCAAAGCTGTGTTGAATTTTTATAAAGTCCACAAATTCACAAATAGTCCTGAATCTTTTTATTAAAGTCCACAAAACACTGTAAGAACTTAAAGACCTAGAAGACACAAATTCTTCTTTTTTAACCAGCTGTCCAGTTGGTTTTTAAAAGCATTCACTAAGCTAACATTAACCACATCCTCAGGCAACCTATTCCACTTTGGAACCACTCTGTTGCCAAGGATTTGGTGGGCAGTGTTGGTGACCGATGTCATTCTGACGATTTTCATATTGTGATCTCCCTAATATTCCTGGAGTTTATTGTTCTTTCTAAGCAATTATGAAGGTCTGGAAGATTGTAGAACCCATGAAGATTTTTAAGTTTCAATTAGATCACACCCTTCTTTCTCCAAGAGTAGTGAGGCCCAGGAATTTTAATCTGTCCTCATATGATTTGCATTGTACAGCGTGAGGTATTTTGGTAGTTCTCCTTTGTACGCTTTCCAATAGATCAATGTCTTTCTGAGAGTACGGACATTAGATGTGGAATCTATATTCAACCAATGGCCTAATATATGTCTTGTGAATCTTAATAAATACTTCAACAGTCATCCCTCAAAAAATCTCCATATGACATATATAAAAAGAAAAGAGTTTGCCTTTTTTTACCATGGTACTGATGGGTTCTTCCCATTTCAAATTTGAAGTTATGGTAATTCCCAGATCTTTCTGCTGGATGACTGAGCATATTACATTACCATATAAACTATAATTTTTTTGTGGGTTTTGGGAACCAAGGTGTACATTTTGAAATGTTAAGTCTGATGACCCAGTCTTTGGTCCAGTTATGAATGTGGTCAATGTCATCTTGCAGTTGCCCAGATTTTAGTAAAGGACAAAAAACATCTCATGGTCTGCGAAGAAGGTTGATTGGCCTCTATGAGTTCCACCAAGTCTTTAATAAAGAGCCCAAAAAGGTGAGAAGCGAGGACTAATCCCTTAGGAACACCACTAAGCGCAGGTTTCGGTTGTGATAGAGAGTTGCCAACTCGGACTTGAAAAGTTTGGCAAGTCATATAACTTTCAATCCACCTGAGCAGCTTGCCACATAAACCAATATGCTCAATCTTCATTAATAAACATTGGTGAGGAAATTGTAGTATGCGCACTCAAAGTCTAAGTAAACAACATCAACTGGGACTCTTTGTCTACATCATTACACCAACTATGCACACATGCTAATAGATCAGTAATAGTAGATCTCTTTTCCACAAAGCCATGTTGTTTAACTGAAACGATACATTCTCTGTTTAAGAACCGAGTTATGTGACGACCTATGATTTTCTCCATTATTTTCATCACAATACTTGTGAGGCTAATGGGCCGAAAGTTCTCTGCTATGGTTTTGTAACCTTTCTTATAAATAGGGGTTACTATGGCATATTTCCAGTCTTTGTGCAAGAATGCAGTTTCAAAAGAATGATTCTTAAATATGTAAGTGCTGGAGTAAGAACCTTGACACAGTTCTTGAAGATACAACCAGGTAGTTGGTCTGGGCCAGGACCTGAATGGACATTCAGATGCAAAATTATCTTTTCAACTTCCTCTGGTGAGAATACAATATCGCTTAGGATTTGTTCAACATGGGCTATTGTTGTTATGCTGGTATTCTGGTTAATTCTTGGCTCAGTCGAATAAGCCAATTCAAAATCGGAACGCGGTAATGCTGACATTACTGCTTGGCGGCAGAAGTAGGTAAGGTGGCAGTACTACCCTGGATGAACTCTGTCACAAGGAGCTCTACTGCTACGAAATTTATATTCTCGTTTTTAAGTAGATAACTAATTATAATGTATAAATAAAATAATCCATTGTTCACAATAACATTTAATCAGTATTTTTTTTAATTTTCAAATTGTGTTTTCTCAGTTCCAACATTTTTGAGTTACTAATATGTATTATGCGGACACCAGCCTGTTACACCAAGTACTATATATATTACACTATACTACTATATTTCATTATAAATATACAATTGATGATAATATTATAAATATATGTATGTATAATTAAAAAACAAAACTCTACACAATTTGCCACTTCAAAACCAATCCACATATTGTATACAGATTACATTTGGGCCCGCATTAAGCTATAAGCTGGTCGTGTGGGGTACCATCTTTACAATCTCAATATAAATTGGCAGCACAAGTTTAGGTGTAATATAATAATAAAATAAATTTGTAACTGAATTAATTATGTAGTAAAGAAACTTTATTCTACAACTTAATATATACTACCAATAAAGTGTTGTGCAATATTAATGTCTTGCATTGAAGCATATTTGTTGTGTACCTCCTACATTGGTTTACCATTATTTTAATAATAATAATAATAACGCACACACTCAACATAGCCCCGCACTAGGGAAACCCTGTGTCGCGGGTGCCATGGACACACACATAGACAACCACAAATTACACTCAAACTCACGAGAGAAATAAATGTAGGTCATACAAATATTTCTCCCGGCCCGGGAATCGAACCTGGGGCCTCTGCGTGGCAGTCCGGCGTGGTAACCGTTCGGCCACGGAGGCAGTATATTATTTTAGTATTAGTTATATATCCAGAATCTAGATTTTTGTTTAGAATCCACTTTAATTGGCCATATTTTCAAATATAAAATGCAATATATAGTTAAGCTCCATTGTCATTTACTAGTTACTCCAAAATCCACTTTTTATCACAGAATTTTGCTTTGAAGCTCTGTTTAGAATATTATTTAACGTTACTACTCTTTTGACTAGTGAATGACCTTAAAGAAGATTAAAGTATTATCTTTGTATAACTATGTTTTATTTGGATACTTACTCTGCGATACCTCGAGAGTGTTGGTTATTTATAATAATTTATTTTCAGGCAAATGTTTACAATACACTTATATCTAACAGAAAGAAAAGATAACAGTTTTTAAACTGTTATCTTATGTTTATATGTTTTTAGTATTCAATAAACGAGTTTTTGAATAATAAAAGTCATTCATACACTCATGGGCAGTATATTAACAAAAGTGTTCTTTAACTTCCATGCTAGTTGACATTTGTGCTACGGTACTGTGCTCAATTGCTCTTTAGAACTTGTTTGAATAAGTTTCCTTAGGTATTACTTCTATCATGAAAACAAAAAGACCTATCTACAAGTATTGAAATTTAATTGAAAAGAATGGCGAAAATAACGAATTGAAGTAAGGCACTTACTTCAAGTAATAAGTGATTAATTGAATGGCCCATTCAAGAAATCCCTTAGTCCGTTTTGTTAGTCATTGGTTATTGTACAATCTTTTTGTTTTCTTGTCTTTGAAACTATAATACGAAGTCTTTGGAAGAGTATTGGAGGTCAAAGAGTATCGTTTTGGGGGCTTCTTGTAGAAAACGTCAGATAGCATGAATTGATAAATGTTACTAGAACTAATCATTAGATTTCAAAATAATATCGGCAATAGTTTAAATTCCCTACCCCATATACCGGAGGTTCCAAATACTTTATATAGCACGATATTTGGCTTAATTAAAAATGAATTTGATAATATATTTAAATCGAAAACATTAACTTTCCATAGAGAGACTAAATTCAACGACTGGGCAACAGTAGGTATTCATAAGAGTAGGTCTCGTTTGTGTTTATTTGTATAATAAGAAAGAAGATATCCATAATATTAACCTTCGAGCTAAGTCCAAACTCATGGTACCACGATTCCGTTTAACCAAGGTAAACAACTCTTTCATGGGGAACTGTATACGTTTTTATAATAAAATTCCGGAGCATATATTAAGTTTATCATTTCCTAAGTTTAAAAACTACCCATGTTCTGTTGCTATTTTGCAGTTGGGACATACTCGCAATGTTCGAGCAACCACTAAGGCACCAATCGCATAGTTACACACAAATGTGGAAGTACTAACGAGATTTTTTTTTGCAACTTTGAATAGTACTGTTAATTCAAATTATGTTAGCCTGTCGGAACAGGCCCACGCATTGTTTCGAAATTTTTGGAACTAGTTTTATCTATTTCAAAATTAACACTGACTTCACTATTGACAAAGACCCAGTAGGTACAAGACACGTACCAAAAACTAAAATATTTAACAAAATAAGTCATTTTAGTCCGTTTTAAGTAATATAAACTGCTGAAGGCCGTGGGTTGGAATCCGGGCTCGCACTATGAGTTTCTTGGATTTTATATGCAAAATTTAATTTGAAAACCATGAGCTTTCCAGTGAAGGAAAACGTGATGAAATCTGCAAGTCGAAATAGTTCACAGGTTCGCACGCCTGAGAGAAGATCCGTGCCCAGCAGTGGGACATATAAATAGGTTGTTGATAATGTTGATGATGTTGATCAGTTAAATAATCATTAAATTGGATTAGTACCTAATGTTTGAAAAAATGTATACGTGCACAAGACATAAAGACAGAAAACACAAATAACTTTTTTTTGAGGTTACTCAAAATATACAATACGTCATATACAAATAACCTGTTAGTCGTGATATCGTGGAGAAGTCAAATAATAATTGGTGAAATGAACCTTTATAAATCAAAATAAATACAGGCTGTATATTTGAAAGTGAGACATATTCATACATGTCATAGTAAATCATGTTACAACTTAACATAGACTAAAATAAAATTAGGATATGGGATAGAACAAAAAATAAATCAACAAATTTGTTTTGAAGTGTACATAGAAATAAACCGATTCTTGATTTCGAGTGCAATGGGAATATTACCAAGCGAGAGCCGAGTGAGACAGCAACAATAACAATAGTTCACACAAACACGAACAAATGTTCACATTTACGTTTTAGCTTATGTTAATTATTTTTTACTTGAACCATCATCGAAATGTTTTACGTACAAAAAAAGATAAGTTTATGGTTTTGTAACAAGTTTTATAACTAGTTACTAAATTATAAACTTATCATTTAATAAGAATTGAGGTTTTTGGCGTAGTTAAAAATGTGGAATCAAATTATTTACAATGATCGATTTTTTAGTTATTTACAGTTTATTTACACTTACGTGGTACGGAGCAAGTGTTCAAAATGTCCACCGTTTTCCACAATGCATAGTCTAGTACGGCATAGTAAATTTTGTTTTAAATTGTACAACACAAACACATTTTGCTTCACAGTATAAAATGCTGAGATACTCCTCTCACGCAACACTTCAACACTGCTCACATCCTCCGCGTAAACTCCGATTTGGGAACATTTCAATAGCTTGCCTCACACTATCACCACTTATTGCGAAAAGTCGCACCATCTCAGTCAATTCGACGTTAGAATAAATATCCATTTTGGAGCGATTGGGCGAGCGGAAGTACAAATAATTGACGTGTCTTCGTTAGATCAAGGTCGCGCGTGCACTGTCTGAAATTGCAAACAGCAATTTCGCGTATGCGCCCGCGCCCCCAACCCGACCTATGCTTTGTTTTTCGCCGCCGTGCCGCCATCCGCCGCTGCGTCGGAGCAATAATAGTGATGTGCATAGATTTCAATAACTAATGTTGTTCTCAAGTAGTAGTCGATAAAAAAAAATTAAAGAAGTATTTTTTGTAAAGTTTAAGTTAATTAGTTTATTATTTCTTTGGGTTCAGAATCAAGAATATGACGCACTCTATAGGTATGTCCCACTTTCAAATATACAGCCTGTATATGTTTTCCTTCTAAAGGTGGCGTGGCGGTCGCAGACTATAACTCCGTTGTGGAGGGCGAGAAGATCGTTAAGACAGCCATGGACAACTTCGGCCGCGTGGATATGCTCATCAACAACGCTGGTATCCTCAGGGACAAGAGCTTCGGCAAAATGGCTGAACAGGTACTGGTATACTTGTTTTGTTTTGAGCACTCATCGGCTTATGAACTCTATTATTTTTCTACCCGATTATCAGCCAATATGGCCTTGTTAGTACCATCTGCATCCCCGGATCTAGGGGGTTGCAAACCTGCCCATGATACCTGCCCCGGGTGCCAGTTTCAGGGGGCGCCAAAATCATAACATCGTGTTTGAAAAAAAAAGCGCCTAGCATCGAGTACACGTTGTTTTATCGATTATTCATTTGATTTTAAAACGCCCATTTGGTTTTTGAAACATCCTAAGTTGATTTATGAACATGTCCTAAGTCTAATTTTGAGCGCTTGCACAGAAAAAAAGGATGTCTACTGATAAGAAAGAGCAATTTCTCAAAATATTTGCTAATTCTGAAAAAAATATTTATCAAAAGTAATAATTTATTACTTATTACTAATAAAATATTGTCATTACAAAAATAGTGCTTATCTTTTAACCGACTTCAAAAAAGGAGGAGGTTCTCAATTCGACTGTATGTAGTATGTAGTGCTTTCTGTCGCTGTAGCATTTATTCGGCACTGAATGGTACTCAAGTTTTTGAGAAGATTCCGTCCTATTTTCTGCTACTTTAAGGTTTGGCACTGAACTGTGTGTTTTCTAGACATGGGGAATAGCGTTACATTTCTATCGCCGTGACTGTCGTTCCGGTTTCAAAAAAATCACAGTGATAAATCATCGTGATTTTGTCACGACTGTTACTTCCGTGACCTTGTCACACCTATAAATTACATCACGATATACGGTTTTAGCCAGCGGCTTCTTTCTAATACTTATAGCCGTTTTTTACATAATGATTTAAGTTTTTACTCCCTTTGTAATAAGTTTCAATTCCATTCAAAAAGTTGATTTTGTATTTAATGTAATTTTGTTTGTTACTTATTTAACGCGAATCTTTGGATTGTTAAAAATAGCAATAAAGTGTAATGTAACTATATTTCTAGTAGAATACACAAAGTAGATTATACATAAATATAAAATACCAACTCTTCCTATAATAAAACAAATATACAAAAATATTTACTTTGTTCATAAAGAGGTTCATAATAACTGCTGCAGATTTTTTTCATCCGCCCTTTCTAGTAGTAATAAGCACCTACGACCCTTGTGAGTGAGCAAAGAAAGTCGTCCTATTTCATTCACTCCCATCGCCGAAATAGCCCGATTTGAAGAGAACTACCACGAGTGGCGCGCTTAGTCACCACGGAACGGAGATCGCGCACTGTATCAAATACGTATGTCGTGATGTGAGTGACGGGGGTAGCTATTGGAACGGAGGAACACCTATGTGATTTTGGAACGAGTCACGGTGATACTGTTTGGCGGCGGATCGTGATTTTTTCATCGTGACGTTATTTATCACCCACCTCTAGTGTTTTCACGCCAGTGGGACTTACTGTTGGGTCCATAACCCTGTAAATTTGCCCTTTTTGATATTAGAAAACATAAATCTTCAGTCAAATAATTAAGTACCTCTCAATTTTTCATTCTTTTTTTTTTTTCAAGTCAAAGTCGGACATTTCTAATAACTAATAAATATTTTGTTGATTCTAGAGTAGCTTTGTGACTTGAAGTAAATTAATTTGCTCTTGGATTAAATATTTCTGTCTTATAACTAAAATACACTTTTGAGACGTTTTTTTACTATTATCAAGTATTTATTCTCTAGCGTCTATAGGGAGAGGATCGTTTTGTTGGATTTAATAAATTTGTCTTCATAAAAAGAATTTTGTCTTTTTCTAAGTAATCTGTTTTTACCGTGTGGTTGTTTGTAGTCTTTCCTGGAGTGCTAGCACGATGAGGCGCAACTTGCGCGATATCTCTTTACGAGAATAGTATGTCGGTCTTAATCGTAGATCCAAGGTAAACATGAGCGCCGATAATAGACCAACCGGCGGCGGCGCGCCGACATAAATTGTCGGTGGCGGCAGCGTTTCGGCGGTGCGAGCGCGACCCTAAAACGAATTTGTATATCGGTCTTTGTTTTTACAAAAACCGTTCTACAAATAGTTTTCAAAGGAAAAAATAAAAGAACGTATTTTCTATAGTAATAACATTTTTATCAGTTCGATCAGGTGCTCCGATCGTAAACACGCGCACGCTTCCATATTGTGTATGCGTAGTGAAAATGGCGACGCCAGAAATTGACAAATTAATTTTTTAAACGAAACATCTTTAAATATAAAATCACTAACTTTTGTCGCCTATCTATGTCACCTCTGAGGGGGCCGGATGGCACGCTGGCCTATACCGCAGATGACTCTTTGCAAAGAGTTCGCGTCTGGATCTAATCTTACCACAGGCTGGCTACACTGTGGCGCCAATTCGCATACCCCAAAAAAAGGTATTTAGAACTTTGCAGAACCTAGACGTGAATAAAGCTAGCGGGCCAGATAGATTTCCAGCACTAGTCCTACGTAACTATGCGCCTGAGTTGTCTCCTGTTCTTACACGCCTACGCCTATACCGCCTCTCACTTGAGACTGGTGTAGTTCGCAGGTCGTGGAAGCTTGCAAACGTGCAACCCGTGCCGAAAAAGGAAAACAGAGCTGACTGTCAACTATAGACCTATCTCAGTCACTTCCGTATACTGCAAGACTATGGAACGTGTACTCAACAACCTTCTCTTGTCGTACCTTGAAGACAACGACCTCCTCAGTGATCGGCAGTACGGATTCCGACGAGGGCGATCAACTGTGGCTCTTCTTGTATGCCTGGCACATATGGAGCGAGGCTATAGAAAAGCAAGGTGAGGCACTTGCAAGCTTCCCTTAAGTTTCCCTCTTATGGGCTTCCCACTGACCTTTGCATTTGGATCTCGGATTTCTTGAGCGAACATTCGATTCGAATGGTATTAGAAGGCTACTCTTCCGAACATATGGCGATAGATTCATCAGGGTTACGTACTGTCTGCAACTCTCTTTCTACTGCTTATCAATGATATGTTAATTCCAGGTACCTTTGCGTATGCTGATGATAACACAGTTGTAGATAGGTACTTGACCAATGTAAGGATCAGTGTAGAGGAAATCCAGTCTTGTCCAGAGTCCATGGTTAGCCTCTTTGGATTTGACACTCAAACCAGTCTCCGATTGGGGCGATGCCAAATTTAATGTTACCAAAACGCAGGCGTGTCTATTCTCCACAAAACGGAGTCCCTTTGAGCTGACTCCGATTTTTCATGATATACCTATCCTTACCCATAACCGACTTTCTCCAGCTACTTGGAATGGACCAGTCGTCCAATTGGTACTTCGGCAGATACATTGAATCCATGGCCAAACGTGCAGCAAGGAAGCTTGGGATCCTCTCCAGGGTGAGGCGTTACTTCACACCGGGACAAGCACCATATCTTTCTACGTAGTTTTGATTATAGTGACCCTCCCTATTTACCCTTAGGGCTTACGGCATACGGGAAGGACACTATAACCTGTGCGCGCACAGGAACCTTACAAGTTCAGGTTCTGACCACAGATCAGCCAGTGTACAGGGTTCTCACAGACCTCTGTCACTTGACTTCATCCGGTTCTTCGAAAGGCTAGTGCCTTGGATAAGCCGCCCTGGGTGCACGTACAGTACTCTCCCTATTTTCAGATAGGTACCGGAGCTGTAGGCACGCTCACTTCCCGTTGCGCATTGCACAACTAGCAGTTGCCACCGCTAAGCCGTCGATTCTGAGTCCACTACCAAATCTCCTCATTGGTGGCGGAGCTGTTAGGTACGCTCACTTCCCGTCGCCGAAAAACGACGTCTCTCCAGTTCCCAATAACTTAAGCTGGAGACTGGAGGGACTGGAGGATATCTAACTACTCTACTTACTAGCTCGCCAGTCGCAGTCTTCTTCGACAATGTCCGGACATAGCTTCCAACTTGAAGGGCAACTCACGTGTCCTGCGCATCTCCTCGCATACAGGCCCTCAACTAGACCGCTACTTAGACGCGCTAGCTGCTCACGAGACAGACGCCCAGGACACATGCAAAACCGGGGCAGACAAACATGTCCGTCTCTGCAGCTAACCATAAACCCCAGTGAGCTCGGGTCCGCCAGAGCAACGCAAAGGCGTGTCACTGGCGGAGGGCTTGGCCCGGACGCCCACTATACGCTGGTCTTGCTCGAGCCCGTAGTCTCTCCGAAAAACCCTGTCTCTCGGGTCGGTAGATAGGGACAGTTGCTTCAGCTGTACTAAGCACAAGTCCGGTCGTGCATCGCAATACCGATATGCTCTACATATACTATCCATCTATGATACTCCATGATATATCCTGTAAAATAAGGATATATCATGGAGAGTGTGCGATGGAATTACACGAATTAATTCCGCTTCCCCCTTTCCTTCAACGGGGGACTCGGCATAGACTTGGGTTCCACCTCTATGTTGTGTGTGTATCCAAGGCTGGCCATCTGTATGTATATTTTACAACTTAGACTTATCCCAGTTATTACTACAAGATCGCTCCCTAAACGTGTAATTGAAATAAATACCGTTAAGCGTGGAATATCAAGATCTATACATTTTCGAAAACCTGTAAAGACTATTGATTAAAACTAGTGTTTAAAACCATTTCAAAATTGATCGTGACAGTTAGGCTAGTTTTCAAGATAGACAGGTTGTTGCTTAATTTTAAGACATAACCGACGGGTAAGGGCGAAAAAGATGTTGCCTATTAAGATAATTATACCCATATGCGTCCCCTTTATCAACATATATGTGAAGTCGCAATATGTGAAAACAATTTAAAAAGTGTATATGTGGGAAAAGACTATACGGCGCTTGTTACGCTTTCTTGCGGTATGAGGCGCGGGAGGCGAGGTGACGGTGGCGTCCGGCTAGCGCAGCCAGAAGCCGAGCGGTGTGAATGTTTTTTATAAAATTTTTTTCGCTTCGAGTGCGGGAATTATAGGGTTTTACATAGTGTATTCAGAATTTCATGTTCTATGTTGTGATGTTAATAATCTGTTCGTGATTTTATGCCTTAATTATTTTATTATTTATGCTTCGAATATCATTATTTATAAAATTTTGATATTTGAAGAAGCTCTAATTTCAAACTTTATTTATATCTAATAATAACCTCAACACTACAGGATTGGGACCTAATCCATGCCGTGCATTTAAAAGGCGCGTTCAAGACCACGCAAGCTGCATGGGAGATCTTCAGGAAGCAGAAGTACGGCCGCGTTGTCATGACTTCCAGTAACTCTGGTATCTTCGGCAACTTCGGACAAGCTAACTACAGGTAAATTATACGTACACACATAAGCATACTTTAAGAAAGAAAGAAACATTTTATTCAGTTTATTAAGACTTATACAGAACAAACCAAAACAATGAATTAATGATTAAAAAAATATAGGCTGAAACAGAGTTGGATCTGTTTCAGCCTATATTTTTTTAATCATTAATTCATTGTTTGCAGCATATGTCACAGCTTGCCTGCTCTAACGCAGGTTTTTCAGTTGGAACCGCTTTGTAAGATGGGATGGCACGAAAGTACTAATTATAATGTATAACTTAAAATATATTAAAAACAAGTAGAAAAATTACTAACAATAGGAATTATTAAATGAATTTGCCTTGCTAAGAATTATTATATGAATTGAATATGTCAAATACTGCACTTGTGAGACATTTATAAAGAAGGCTAAAAGGCAGTTATTATTGCCGCAATAAATACAAATAAATGAAAAGAAACGAAAATAAACAACTTAACTCGAAAGAAACAAAAATAAAAATACAAAATTGTGACTGTTTTATTTTAACTTAAAAAGAATGAATGGAACTTTATATTGTTATATATTTATTTTCACCTAATGTACTATTAGCAAAGTCCACGCGATATTACCTTTAAGGTTCTTTTTGTGTGCAGGCATCGACGATTAGTAGTGGGCCACTTGTAGTTTGTTCGTTCTTGTCAACCATTAGCCTTCCAAAACAGTTTGCATTATGTTGACAGTTATGTGTTTTTTATGAATCTAGCCTTAAGCCCCATTGGTTCACAAGAATAAGTAAGATACGGGTAATCGTCACGGACCGACGTTTCCTGCATTCAGAAAGAACTATTAAAGGGGTAACGCGTTGACTTTGGTGACACTATAATCAAAATGATCATAAAGAACAGTTGGTGAAATAAACCATCTAAAATGTTTTATCATTGACGTCATGTTAAAACGAAATGAGAAACGATTTATTAATTAATTTATTTCTTTAACTTGTTATTAATATTTGTAATAAACAGTTTTAAATTGTAATTTTTTTTTTAAATCGACTGTACTTAATATAATTTTTTGATGATTTTTCTCCCTCTAGTGCCGCGAAATTAGGTCTAGTTGGTCTTGCCAACACACTGGCTATCGAAGGCGCTAAGTACAACGTGAAAGTGAACACTATCGTGCCGACGGCAGCTTCGCGCCTCACCGAGGACATCCTGCCTCCGGAGATGTTCAAGGCTATGCAGCCTAACCTAATTGCACCTGTAGTTGTAAGTAGACTTCATAAAAACGTGATGTTGGTATAAAACCATCAAAGCTTGCTTGTTTACTTTGTAGTAATGAATATCATTACCTATCGTCGTTGTCCTTCAATGAAGTTTTTTCGTGAAGTTGTAATTTTGGTCACTAGGTTCCAATTTATGCCACTTACCTACTACGAGAAGACGGTCCAAAGTCTATCATTGCGAACCCCAACGAGTTTTTTATTTGTACAATTTATTCCAATATAGTGCAGATATTTAATTCATTTAGATATTTAATTCATTGATACACTTTATCGGTAATATATTCGCGAATAGTATCACCAATTGATTGATTGTGATTTTTCAGGCATATATGGTCCACGAATCGTTCGAAGATAATGGCATTATCATCGACTCTGCTCTCGGCTTCGCCACCAAGACGCATTTCGTCAGAGGGGAGGGTACCCCCGTTAGGTAAATATTGATGTAAACTGAAGTTTCTGTGCATATGTTTAATTTTCTCAGTCTTTATTTTATCAGTAAGAACCATTGACTTACAAATAAATGGACGACGGGTCTAATACAAAAACCACGAAAAAAATGTCCCAAGTCAACCTATTCTAAATTTAAATTGTAATGTCATCGCAGTATCGCGCTGTCAGTCGAACAAATGAAGACTAAAGCAGAGTTTGGCGCTCTGTATACGATTTTAGCGCCTTACAAGTGCGGACACTTTTTAGCGCGGACCCGACGTCCATATAATTGTAAGTCAATGGTAAGAACAGAAAATTTTGTATTACATAAGATCTGTGAAATTAGTCCATGCTCATAGACTACTTCATCGTTGTAGAGGCCATGCAAGACGAGTAAATTTATAATTAATTACACTAAAATAAATAAAAAAACCATATAAAACAGTGTTGTCACGCGGGCCTCGCGTAATTAAATACAAGGCTCGGTCCACATAAATTTTATTGTAGAAATAAAGAAAGAGTACAGGAATGGAAAACGACAAGTAAAGTAAAGGCGTAAAGGCAAAACATAATAATATAAAAACAGGTATAATCGTGTAAAAACACTCCCTACTTAAATATCTACGGGTTACGGTAAAAAGGAACTTACCCCCAAAAGGGCCTGTCATTTCTAGAAATACGCACGCAATACGAATATGCTTTATAAGCACTTCGGTTACATGATTTTCAATGGCACTATTAATATAATAGTTTACAAGCAGTTAAGTTACATGATTTAATTGGTCAGAATTTTATGTGAAGTCGAGCACGTGAGCTTGCTTCGGAAATTTAATAAAGAGTTGCGTTGGAAAGAAGAAAGGTAAGTGACGAAGAAGAAAAGAATTTAAGAACGATTCAAAATTTCAAAGTAGGTGGCCAGGAACAAGAAAAGGGTGGTAAAAAGGTGGGATGACGATCAAGAGGTCGCATCGTCTCAGTGTACTCAAAAAGTCACCATCTATAAGCCAACTACCCATCGACACCAATTCAAAATAGTTTATAAACTGTCAAAATTAATTTATGATATGTTTGCGGCTTGATATGTTGTTTAGCGTACTTATATTATGCATTGGACAATGATACGAAGTCAGTATAAACAATGCGATAAAGAATATATTTATACATACGACTTTTGCGAGTTCAACTACTTGGTATGGAATAACCTTCTAAAGTTCAATTACATTGCTTCAACTTACGTGAAAATGCTGAAAATAAATCTGCTATTCGTTCAATGTTATTCGGTATATATTCAATATCTCAACTAATTGAAGATATGTGTGTTGGATTAGTGGTTGAAGTTCGTCGACCGTATAAGTCATATCACGCCCGCGACGCTACAGGGACCACGGGGGCGAGCTTACATTGCATTGCGATGAACACAAATTATTTGCAAACAGGTCTAACGATACGTTACGTATGATTATGTCTTGTTTAACGGTTTAAAGAGAAATAATGAAGTATTAAACATGCCAATGGATATACTTTTATCATAGTATAATAAGACAAGTATTGTATGGGAGCGTAGGGTTGTACACAAACATAATTTAAAAAAATTAAGGTATTCATTGTGATGCTGTGGCATTCTCGTGCTATATTGAAATAACCTTTGTCAAATGCAGAACTTACGTGTTGATATTTTTATATCAGCATCACGGATTGGTTTTTCATCACGGATTGATTGGTGGCTCTATTATGGTAGTATGATTACGAAATAGAAATGAAATCTTAAACCATTTTGAATTTGAGGTATTATTCGAATAACCATAAACACAAGAATAAAAACACGTTTACTATTTGTGTAAGTTTAAGTTTTTTAAACATCAAGCGAACGCTTCAATTCTATAATGAATGGCGCGTGCGCTGCTGTCTCGCGATGTGCAACTCGAGTGCACCGTGAGATTATTCGACTGTGCGTCCACACACGGCGCGCACACATACACGGCACGCTGCGGCGTTTGCGTGGGGTTACACTACATGTCTTATAATGCTATGTTTTACTAACCACTTACTATTTAACCTGATTTTTTCCTCTATCAGGGCCAAGCCCGAGGACGCGGTGACCATCGAATCGGTGAAGGCGAAATGGCCTCAAGTTGTCGACATGAGCAAAGCCAAGCACTTAGATAAGAATGCCGAAGTCACTGTGGACCTTGTTGAGAAATTACAGGTTGGTAGAAAATTACTTAATTATTATCCCATCACTCTCCTGGGTACGAATTTTGTTTCTGTCGAGTCTGAATTTAAACCGTAGTCCACCACAATGACCTGATATGGGTTGGGGAATTCACATAAAAAAGGCTTTATTTGAATGTAAAATTCATAAGTTACAAACAATATTAGAAAATCACATAATTCTTTCATGACACAGAAACAAAAAATATATAAGTTAAAATAAATAAGTAATAAAAAGCATCTTAAAAGGGGCCAAGACTCAGTATCTAGGGTTAATACTTAGCCCTCGCTGTTATTCTGCTATGGCCCGTAAAAAAATGAACACTATAATTTTGGCACAAATGTTGACTACCCTATTACTCTGATTACACTATTGAGGACTAAATAAATTAAATTTGATACGAGTATAAATAACCATATAATGTGGATGCTTGGAAAGTAAAATGGTATATGTGACTGTTTTGGTCATATCGAGTTACATGTACCGCTGGAATCAGCTAATGTTTCTGATTCCAACAGTATATATAACTCAATATGACCCAAAAGTGTCGCTTATCCCATTTTGCCTTTCATACGTCGATATGTCTTCGATGATGAAATAGTATATAATAATAAATATACAATAATAAAATAGTAAATAATAGTATAGAAAATTTGCCGCAGGATTTCGAAGAGCGCGCTAAGCTGGACAAGGGCAACAAAGCCAGCTATTGGTCGACGTACGACTACAATGCAAAGGACCTCACTCTGTACGCGCTTGGAAGTAAGAAAAATATGTAGTTAACACCTAATTGACTATAATGGCAGCTATGCCAGACATAGCGTACCCCTCTCAATAATATACAAAGTGTTTTTTTAAAATGGGACAGTATGGGGAAATCCGAAACCATAAAAGATACAAGGAAACTGTCTTAGAAACCATTAAGTCTTTTTTGTGAAAACAATTTTGGCATTAATTAAATTTTTATTGAATTGATACTCAATAATTTTTTGTGAATTTTGGCATTGTCAATTTTTTGGTCAAACGTGAGTTATCCATAAAAATTAATAAAAATATTTTTATTCATTTTAAGGATAATTGATCAAAATTTTTTTATTGCCGATCGACTCAGTTTCATGAAGGGATCATTTCATTGTATGGGATTAAAAATCGGGACAGCAGAAGTTGGTCAAATTTCATAAAATGTTTTTAATAAAAAATGAATAAAATTTACTAATTTTTAATGCTGGTAGACTCAGCTTCTTATAAGGGCCACAAATCAGAGCAGTTAAGATCACAGACTCACAAGAGTGATCAGATAAGCTGACGGCTAAAGGTGTTTTGGCCGCAGTGAGAGGATGCTGTAGTCAGAAGAATTCCGTCGTCGTCGATTTAAAGAGATCTTTATTTCTAAAAACTAGACTATTTATACAAATTCTATTTACATGTGTGCGTGTATATCTACAATATAATTTATAAATGTAAAACAAAGGAAACGTCTACTCAGCAGGCTCAGGCAGGATTTGGTCAGTGCACTGCTGAGTAGTCTATTATGGTCACTTGGTAATTTATTTCTGGTCAGGTTGTCTGTTCATGACACGTGAACGTGAACAGACATATTAGTTCTGGTGCTCCTACCAGTAGGAGCACCCAGTAGGAGCATGAGAAAACGGCAAAAATCACTACTTTGATTGCCAATACAACCAATTTGAAAATGGAACTTTTCAATGTTTGTAAAGTACTTATAGTACAGATAATTCCCTGCTTTGAAACTAGGTAATTTGCGACATTGTTGATAATGATAATGTTGGTGTCAAAGTAATGACATTATCGGTGTTGCTAATACAAATAGTACCTACCGGAAGTTTATTTGACGGTCTTCTTGTTCGCGTAAATTCCATTTTCACCTTAAATTATTACAGATAATTTTTATTTATTCATTGTCGTGATGATGACTACCATAATTTTCATATATTTTTTGTGAAAATGCTCTATTACTTGGTTATTGTTACAAATCTTTGTAATAGCTAACTAGGTAACTGTGATAGTTGATTAAGAGGGTGGCCCCGGCATGGCAGCAGAACCTGGTTCGAGTCCATTCAGATCGAAGGAATTTTTGTTTGTGTTCGACCTTTATATCTACAATAATTGTCACAGATAATTGCGCTGAACGTAAGGTGCAAACTCCACTAACCTGCGATTATTCTTTTGAATGCAATATAATCGAAATAACGTATTTTCGCGAACGGTATTCGTACGTAATCGAATTTCCACATCAACGTACCTATTTCTCAATAATCTGTTAAGAAATTGCGAACGCCTTTCTGTGGTGAACACGTGACAATAAAGACAAGCAATGTTTGTTTGAAAATATGAGATCAAAGATTATGTTTGACGTGTGCGCATTATACCTCGATAATGTTATGTAAATTGTATGTAAGATACCTTTTGAGATGATAATGAGAATTTGAATACAATTGATAAAAAAGTTTTGTGTTATCTTTTGGTAAGTAATAATGTGGCTAAATTATTACTATAATATGGAGATTCCATATTGAACTAATTTTGAACTTTTGTTCAGAAGCTACTTTAGTGAACGGTTATTTATTATATTAACGGAATTTTGTAGTGTTGTAGTCGATGTAATTCATAATTGTTTATCTATTTCGTAAGACAAATATATATTAATCCGTCGCATAATTACAAAGCCGGACGTCAATTACTCGTCATGAGGTATGTGCCTTTAGTACTCGTGTTTTGAGGATTTAAATATATTCAATATATATATTATATATATATTATATTTTATATTAAATATATATATTATATATATTTATATAAATATTCAAAACGTGATATAAACTAGATTTAGGAACCCTACAATGACATTTAAAACCATTGGAAATAAAATTATAATGAATGAGTCGTGACCATGGGGCCTTTAAAGAGCCCGAAACATTGGTTTGTTCGTAAAAACAAGTATACGCCATTGCCCCCACCCACTGGGCCACTACTCGCGGCCGCCAGTCGCGGCCACTCCAGTCCATTTCATTCGTCAAAAAAATCGTCCATTTTGTAGAATTTGACGTTGGTGTTACCAGCGTTAGACATGAATATAGCACACACGAATATACTCTTTTTTCTCTATATAAATAAAAAATCGCATCCGTAACTTGTGGTCGCGCTTAGTGGCCCAATGGGCGGACGCTCTAAGATCCGGAAAAATAGTGTTATATCCAATGTGTAACAATTGTTAAAACCTAACTCGAGGTACTTAAAATAAATTTAAAATACTTAAAAAGATCATTAAAAAATAGTGTTTTTGAAAGCCACGTGATTTTAGATTCCGAAAAAAAATAGTTTCATTTCCAATTTAAAACCTTATCTATATACAGATTTATATCTGCGTTGCCCGATCTTCTCCAGCTATAGATCCCTCGGAGAATAGACGTTGTTGCCGCGGACTTCCTTGCTCATGCAATTGTTTCATAACAATAAAAAATATATATTTAATGGCACATAATTTTCAACAACAACGACAAAAGGGACAAGCCGTGATAGCCTAATGGTTTGGCTTACCACCTCTCAAGCGGAGGCCGTGGATTCGAATCCGGGTTCGCTCACACTGAGTTTCTCGCAATTTATGTGCGAAATTTAATTTGAAATTTGATGTTGATTTAATGAAATTAATATTATTTCGTTCATTCATTCATTCAAAAGAAGGAAAGTAATGAAAGTAAGTCTGTAGACCCTGACGGATATACTCCAGTGTTCGCGGATCCAATGGTATACGATGTTTTACACCATTGCAACGAAAAAGCTGTAAGAATATGTTATTTCTGCAGTTGGCGCTTCCGTGTCTAACGAGTCTGACCTCAAATTCCTGTACGAAAGCCATGAGAACTTTTCTCCTCTGCCCACTTACTTTATCCTGCCTGGCATGAGCATGGAGTCACCCATTGTTCAGCAGTCTATGCCGCCGGGCAAGCATGCTGACTTCACCAATGTAAGTACTAGTTTGTTTTTTTGGATTTATATTTATATTTGTTGGATTTTTATTTCGGTTACTGTTTCCAAACTGTAGGACGCGACTCGCACAATTGCCGCGAAGTAGTTATTCAAAGATCTGCAACAAGCACATAGTACAAAAAATTCTAAGATCTGCTGACTTGATCTGTAGCTCAGTTGGTAAGAGCGATGGCCCCGGTGTGGCAACAGACGCTGGTTCGAGCCCAGTCTGATTGAAGGAATTATTCTGTGTTGTTTGATCTTTGTATCAATAATAATCTCAATCTCAATAAAATATTTAGGCTGGTCATAGAGACAACATTTTCGTCTTTTCAGTCGAGTTTCAGTTTCTTTGTTTTGTACGATAATGCTTTAGAGGTAAAACCTAACATTTGCAGCCTAGGTATAATAATCCACACGTGATTGGTCAACAGTCACATGAAAGTCATAAAAGTAATACGAACTTCTTGAGAAAAACATCACGTATATGTATGTGAAATTATACGTATAACTCTCCTACTTATATCGGCTAATTTCGTTCATAGAATCCTTTTCAGGAGAGAACTCCTGAAAAGTTGTCATTTCGCAGATGTGATTTTATCACACCAGGATGCGGTTTACTAGAAATAGTTTTGTTCCTAGGCGTCGCGCAATCGTGTGTATTGTGTTGGATACAAGTACAGAACAATAAATACAGTAGAAGTGGTTAGTTAGCGTCATACGCGTGTCAACTATAAAGACTTTGTATGGTATGGCTGTGTCATTATTTCGTGCAAATTCTCTAAAATCCAAAAAAATGCCTTATTGTGCCGTTTTGGGGTGCAAAAATGATAGCCGTCCCGACGATATGTAATACCACCCGTGGTGGTATTTTTTTTTTCTTATTTCTTTTGGCTTTTCGCGGTAAGCGTTTTAGCCACTTACAAAGTTTTTTGACTAACTCCTTGTTTTTGAAACATAATGCACACGTTTGGCCGGCGCCGTAATTTCTGAGAAAGAACTTAGTGATTGACTACAGAAATCCGTATTCCATTACAGATCCTTCACGGTGAGCAATACATCGAATTCCTTGGTGACCTGCCCGGCACTGAGGGCGAGTTCACGACGCGCTCGTACGTTGCCGAAGTGCTCGACAAGGGATCCGCGGCTGTCGCTATTGTTAACAGTTAGTACTGATTTTTATGATTATTTCATCATCTCAATGTGAAAAAACGTCTATAATTTTATATTGCCAATCGAAAGGGTATTATTAATTCCTTTTAAGAAACGTAATATACGTATACATCTAACTTAAGGCAACGTTCGAATAGGACCGACCAATAAGAAGTTTTGTATTAAAAAAATAATGAATATAAGCGAAGGGTTTGTCAGGATTGTGCTAAGTGGCGATCCAAGGCCATGAGTATATGTGTGGACAGGTGCGTCTTAGTGAAGCTAGTGTGAAGTCTTCTCATTGTATTATGTTTATATTATTATTATTGTCTGTATTTTTTGAAGATTATAATAAATAGACGGAGTAAAATGACAGTTCATTGCGCAAAAGTGTTGCTAGCTTGCGAGCAGCTAGTGATTGCAGTCGATATATATTTTATCGATTATCGACTGAATATTGGTCGCACTTAGGGAATAAATAGCCAAACTTGTTTCATTTGAAACATCCTCGACCCATTATTGTTCATCCAATTTCAGAGCACTAGTTCATTTGTATTGTCAATTTTTGTAAGTTCATACATACATACACTGTACTTAGAACTATGTTTATAAAAATTACAAAGACGACACAAATTTTAAAGATTTTTATTTAAATTCAATCTTATACGTAATCAAATACGGCTATTTTTGTTAACATGTATATGAATAAATATTGATCTCGATACTAGCAGGCCAACTGTCGAAATAAGAATAAAGAAAGCGACGACGTAGTTAGTAATCATTAGAACGTAGTCACAAGCACAAGTCAGTCATTTTTGTTCAAATGTAATTTTACTCTGTCTTCAAAAAAGGCGGACTATAGACCGTTCTTTGATCATTCTGTTAAGTGTTAATTACGAATGATCTCATCTAGTTTGTGACTATTCAAAACTGAGTTTTCATTTACTGTATATTTTTGTTCATAGGCGAAATCTACCAAAACAGAAATCTGGTGTACCGCACGCAGCAGCACATTTTCGTACTAGGACAAGGTGGCTTCGGCGGCCCACGCAACAGCAGTATCGCGACTGAAGTTCGGCCCGTGCCCAAGAGAAACCCGGATGCTGTCGTTGAACAGAGGACTGCTGAGGACCAGGCTGCTCTTTACAGGTGATCAGGGTCTTTCTATCTTAATACCAGTAGTTTACAATCCGTCTGTTTTTTTTGGTCTACCTGTACAACCACCCATATTCATATTTAACCCCTTCCGAGCAAGGGCTCTTGCCTGTCCGCATTACTTGTCCATACATAATAATAATAAACCTACAGGATAATAGTTATTTGAAAATCGAGATGCCACACGGGCGTTGCGTCGCGCAACGGTATTATTTCAACGGACTGAGTGCCACATGAACTGTTCCGTCGACGCGCGCTTTTTCAACGCACCGTGTGGCATGTCGTTCTGATTATATAGTACAACGCAGTTGCGACGACGCAACGCCCATGTGGCATCTCCCTAAGTTGGCTGGCAAAGCTGGTCCCACACTACACTACTACAGGCCGAACCTGGCCTGAGGCAACATTTTTAATTAACTTTTAATAAATATGAACTGCCTCCGTAGCCGAACGGTTGCCATGCCGGACTGCCACGCAGAGGTCCCAGGTTCGATTCCCGGGCCGGGAGAAATATTTGTATGGCCTACAATTATTTCTCTCGTGAGTTTGGGTGTAATTTGTGGTTGTCTATGTGTGTGTCCATGGCACCCGCGACACCGGGTTTCCCTTGTGCGGGGCTATGTTGAGTGTGTGCGTTATTTATTATTATTTATTATTTTATTATTATGATTCCAACATTGAATATTTGATGTAAATGGTTACTTTGCAATTTTCCTTATACATATAATATGTGGCACTTTATATCGTCATTAAACCAAAATGTTAGGTACCGGTCTCCTATTAGAAGAAAGTTTAGGCCATAGTCTGGCCCAATGCGTTGTCTAAGGGTTGTGAACCTTCTTCAGTATGCTGGTTTTATAATAAAGTTTTCCTTCACTGTTGACTGTAGGCATTGCCACTAAACATGCACGAACTTAAAATCTGAGTAAATGCCGTCATAGGAATTCGAACCATCGACTTCTCAATTTAGAAACATTGAAAATATCCACTTAATTTCAGACTGTCTGGCGACCTGAATCCACTTCATATCGACCCGCAAGTGGCCTCTATCAGCGGTCACGCGAAGCCCATCTTGCACGGACTCGCTTCACTCGGTTTCTCCGCCAGACACGTCTTGGCCACGTGAGTATCCATTTATACACAAAAATCCTTCATACATATTCTCAGACTATAAAACTGAAGACTGAAGTGAGGATTTCTACCAAACATATGTCATATAATGTTTCGTCGTCTCTCCCCTGACGTCACTAGCATTGGACAGTCGTAAATTAAAAAGGTAAGCTTACAATGATTAGCGGAGAAAGTTCGCCTTTGAAAGCCAAGTAGGAACTTACGTTTTACGCAGTTGCGACAAGTGTCCTTGATTACCAGTGGTCGGAATTGAGGGAGTTAAGTTACCTATAGTTTAAACGTTTTTTTAGTGTGGACGTAACCATTTCGTCTTCAATGCGTATACAATTTCTTTTTTTACTGTTTATTTTCTAAACATTCCAAAACATAAGTTGTCTCATGTTTATTTTTGAAAGGTATTAAATACCTTTAGAAACACAACTACAGTATTATATTTTGGGACAATAATTTTGTAGGAAACACTTAATAGGAAATAATAATTTGTCGACAATTTACTAAAAAAATAAATGATACGCATATCCAAATACAGTCAGTTCCGAGAAGTCCCGGGATTTGTAGAAGGGAATGTCCACATTATTGTTTAGTTTAGCTAAATTAACTCCTTACATTCCGATTACTGATGATCACACTAGCGAACAACTCCGGGCGGGCTGGCAAGTGTGGATAGCGTTACCAATAAAACAATACCATATGTAAATCATGTGACTACATAAGACAAATGAGACGTACTCTTTTATCTTTCACAGGTATTGCAATCAGAAATAATTGAATATTATATACTCCCAGACACATAAATCGAGCCACCTTGGCTTTTATTTTTAAAGGGCTAGAATACAAAATTATTGTAATCACGGATGAAAAAGTTTCCCCCAGATTTACAAATTCAAATTTTCAACAAGGATTTATGGAAAAGACGTTTAGTATAAAAAAGTATAACCTACCTGTTTAAAAATGTATAATAATATTTTTTGATCAATAAAATATTTTTTCAGCTTGAATGCTCTATTTAATATTGAAAATGCAAAATGGCTGGAATTATGTGTGATTTTATTTTCGTAAGCGGCAGAAGCACAACGGAATTTTCAAGTTTTGAGAAATATTTTAAATATTTTATTAGGTTTGGCGGTAACGACCCCGCAAACTTTAAGGCCCTGAAGGCGCGATTCATGAAGCCCGTAACTCCTGGTCAGACGCTCGTCACCGAGATGTGGCGCGAGGGCTCCCGCGTACACTTCCAGACCAAGACTAAGGAAACTGGGAACGTTGTTATTGGAGGTAAGATTCTTCATTGAAAAATTACTTTTAAAACTTTCTATTGGGGTCTCTACTGATTCAAACTACGCGAGCAAGAGATAAAATTTACCCTGACAGTGTTATGCTGTATAAAATTAATTCTGATCAATGATTTTAAAGATCGTAAACATTGCTGTAAAGGTACGTAGCCGTAGATTTTATTCTGATAGGATTCATCATTCACTTCTGTTTGAAAGTTATTGCCGTAACTTTATCATCTAATTCAACTAATATAATCTCCCTAGGTGCATATGTAGACCTGAAGCAAGTAAGCCCAGTCAAGGCCAACAGGGTTTCCGCATCTGGCCTGAAGAGTGACGGTCTTTTCGCCAAGATAATCGAAGAGGTTAATAAGAACCAGGCTATGGCAAAGAGCATCAATGGCATTTTCTTGTACAACATTACTGAGAATGGAAAGACTGTAAAACAATGGAGTGAGTATTAAATTACAATTTCTGTAACTTTTTGTTGTGTAGGCTGATATTCCAACACACAGCATCGTAGCGCCTCGTTCTCACGCCATTGTACTGCACGTTTTTTGCCGTATAAATCTTACCGAATAAACATTAGATATAGAACCGTACACAAGGGCTTTGTCCTGCAAAAATAGGCACACAGCTCTATACGTTTATCGGATAGGCAACGGACTTGTCAAGCAAATCGAAAGAACGTCTTTGGTGTGCAGTGGCGCATAGTGTTATTGCATCTCTTTCACGCGGCGCGAAGTAATACGTTTTTATCGAATATTCACTGTACAAGCGGCGTCTAGTATTTCAATACTAGTAGTAGTGTACAACACTTTAGTGTTCGTATTTATTATTGGTAACCTCGAATTCTCCATACGTTTTAATAAATTGTCAAAAGTATCTACTGACATCCAAAATAGAAAATTTTTTTTCATTATCATTTTTCTTCAGATTTTCGTGCTATTTTTGGAATGTTTTTGCACGCACTGCTTCTTGATTCATTGGATGAACCAAACACCTTCTGTTCTTCCGGCGACAAAGCCGTTGGCGTCTTTTATATCCATATACAAGTGCAACAACGCGTTGGTCCATCACAGACGTGTTCTCGGGGCGATTGCTTTGTGAATGGCTATCCGTCTTTAAAACGAATGAAAATAATATGTGTGAACACCCCGCAGTCTATCAGTTTATAATCGAATACGTTAAAACGTGTACGATAATGCCGTGTGAACCAAGGCTTCCAATTAAATCAATAACCTAATCTACCAACCAATAAATTTTGTATAGTAACCAACATTCGTACAATTACGTAAGCTATTGTTTGGATGTTTCCAAAGTCAGATTAAAGTATTATGGTAGTAATGACTCTACCAAAAGGATGAGGATTATACCTACTTTAACGAAAGTAGAAACATTGACAATTTGATAACATTCTTTAGACGTTTTAATTATCTATTTTCTTAACAGCCCTTGACTTGAAGACTCCTGCTGTTTATGAAGGTCCACTTAAGGAAGGCAAACCTGATGTCACCCTGACTGTTACTGATGGTGATCTTGTGGAAATTGCATCTGGAGCCCTCAGTCCACAAGTTGCATACATGAAGGGAAAACTCAAGTTAGCTGGCAATATTATGTTGGCACAAAAACTAGGACCCCTTCTCAAATCTGAAGCCAAATTGTAAAAAAATGACAAAAAAATATTAGGGTTTGCTAATTTCGTGGGTATCCATACTAGAGGGAAGGTTGAAAAGGCTGCACAGCAATATAACATTGTTGTATTTTTATATAAAAATGTATCAGGTGTCATGCTAATGTGGAATAATTATGTATAACTCCATTTTGTATTTATGTATCATTGAAATTTTATGACTGTTATAAATTCCATAGCTTTAAGTTAATGTATACTGTTGTTTTTGTAATGGTGAAGGAAAGTATATCAATTTTACCAAAATGTTAAGTTTTTTTTATTTTATTCCTTATCTTGATGCAAAGTGATCTTTGGATCTGGAATTTGGGGCGACAGATAAAAAACCAATAAACCTGCTAAATTTCAGTTACTGTTCAAGTTGGATAATTTATTATTCATAGGAACACGCAAAAACTACCATTTGGCATAAAAAAGAACAAGAAAAAATGTGATGTGGTTTTTATTCCAATGTTTCGTATTTGCAGGTGCATTTTCTTATATAACTTGTGGCCATATGAGTTGGAGTCATATTAGCATCATATTAGTAACACCATAATGTTACTGTAACTGAAACAGAAGGGTTTCTTAATATTAGAGAGAATTTCCCATCATATTGAAGGAAGAAGTTTTCCTTCAAGGAAAAAGTTAATATCCCTAACTTCATGTTCCCAAGCTGCCTTCATCTGTGGTTGTGAATTTAGATCTACGAATTTGGTAGCTAGAATCTCTGGTAGCCCTTTTGTTCTGATCGCTGTTCCCATGATGCAACAGTAAGTACCTGTGAAGAATATTTTCTAAATAAATAGCTCAACTGGTGTAACAAAGGCATAATTTTAAAAGGCATAGTTTTCCAGATCAGAATACAATGCTACTCTACGATCCTTGCACCATATTATGAATGTTAAAGTCTTGAAACTACATTTAACTAATGTTAAATTTCAAGACGACGGGGGGACAAACACATACATTTACTATGGAAACAAATTATTGAATCATATTGAAGTTTGTCCCGTCACTTGATATTATAAATAAAAAACTAGGTTGGTTATGCAAGTTTCTTAGTCTTAGTTTTGTACATTTTTGCAATAATTGTACAAAACTAAACACAATTACATATAGTGTTCTTGTTACACAGGATGTGTTATTATTAAGTCATAGACATGAACTAATGATTAAGTTTTGAATAAAAGATCATAAATGTGTTATTTCAACACCAGCCATTAAACTATGTTATCTTGAATTTTGATGATTTTGTGTTTTTATTGCCAAGTAGAAGCCTATGTCTTAAGACAAGCTGAAGGTATCAAGTCAACAAATTTGAGTACCTAATAATAAGTAAGATATAAGTAAGTACGCATGTCATACATGTTTCTTTGTTAGATAAGTTAGATGCAAGTTATCAGCAATAAAGGCTTTAAATAAATAAATGCCAAGTTATTGTGTTAATTTTAATTGAAAGTTGAGAAAATAATTCTAAAGTAATATTCATAAATTTCATGATTTATGATGAATAACTTGTAGTAAAAACATCATTATAATAGATACAATTTAAAAAAAAATTAAAAAGTTTCCCTTTTATAATGTAAGATAAAGATGTATGGAAAGACGACATGGCTCTGAATTCTACACAGATTTGATTTAAAGTGTATTCCATACGATTTACATTTATTTGAAAATATACTTTCTTGTTCATTCTTCTCAGGGAAGTCAGAACAACGAATGAGCAATAACTTAGAACATTTTATTTTCTAGGCTTTGGTAAAAAGTTACATTTTTTAAATTAGCGTAGACTTCATTGCTGGTGTTAATTTACATGTTTCTTTTGTTCGTAATGCTTAACGTTTAAAAAAACATTATTCTGTTCATTAACTTAAATGGATTTACCATTTGGCCTAGTTTTATTTTACTTGATGATATGCATATTATAATAGTGTAGGTATTGAATATAATTGTAAGTCAATGGTATTGAAAGAGATAGTGGGGTTAATACTTTTTTCTTGTATGTACCTTTTCGCAGAGAATTTTTATCAATAACGCCATCTGCCGAATCTAATTTTGTTATTTTTGCTCGTCCGGAACTGTCTGCAACTATGAGAATATCGGTGCCTACAGTTTGTTCTATTGTGCCTTGCAACCACACTTCTATGGGTGTTGGTTTGTTGACAAGATCCTTTATCATATACTTTCTGGGATTTAAAATCATTTTCCTGAGTTCGTCGAATAATCATAAATTTAATTTTTACCAGAAAACACAAATTAGAAAGATATAGTAAGAACCATAGATTTAGTATATAGTAAGAACAGATAGGAAACAGGTCCTATAACGGAACGTTTGTAGAAGTAGTTCCGTGCCCCGTGACGGCACGCTGGTGGCGCTGGTGTACCGAATAGTGACGCGCCTCAAACCTTTATGGATCGGTTACTATTAGTGATGTCCCGTATCGCACTTTTGCGGTAAAAATTACTGTTTCATCGGTCCTAGTTACTTTTTCATATTGCTAATGTTTTGTGGTTTAAAATAAAATACTGTATTTTCAGTTATATCTGTTTATTAATAACGAAAGCTACTACCGTTTCGTAAAGGTGTTAACCCATGGGAGAAGAAACGGCGAAAGAAACTCCCAGCAACACATTTTTTTGAATCTAACAATTAATGAATGATAACAAAACACAATTATTAAACAAAAAGTCGCTCGGTGGATTAGAGAACATAAGTAAAAATCGAACATTATTCGTTTATAGTAATACATCTACGGACTAAACACAAAGGCTAATTAATTTTTACTTTAATTTGCAACTTAAATTATAGTGGCGTCTTTTTCAGATTTATCATTCTCTTCGCATCTTCCAACATTAGAAACAACAAGAAAATATATAATTATCAGTTTTTTTTAAGTTATCGAACTCACAGTAGTAATTATAAAAATCGTTTATGCAAAATTCGATACACCAACAAAATGATTACATATTAAATGCGGAAAAGTACGTAGATAAAAGTGTCACTAAATCCTTGAAAACACCGAGAAATTACATTTTCATGTCACATTGTCGTATTAAACCACCGAGCATGTTGAACTAAGTAACATAACTTTTATTTTTGTCAGCCGATATGTTGAATATTATGTGTGTGGTATGTGTTCTGTGGTCCTTTTTCGTTTCCGGGTCACTAACTCTGCATTTATCTGCAGTGATACAGCATAGATATGATCTCCCACTGTCCGAACAGCTAAAATGTAAGAAAAATAACTTATAAGTAATATCGTATTAATATAATAAATGTATAAGTATCTGTAGCTATCAACCACTGAATACTTACAGACAGTTACAGGACAACTGTGGGTATTCGACATGCTATTCTACTCTTCTTCTACTTCCGAGAATAATGTAGGCCATGAGAAAGGCACTCTTTTATCATCTTTGATAAATTTATCCTCAAAGTGAAGTTTATTAACCTGAAATTTAATAAATTTTGCTTAGTGCTTATAGTGCTTACATTTCAAATTACAAATATTGAATGCCTTTTAAAACAATTTAACATTTCAAATGTATATTTATCACTCATGTTTTTTTTAAGGCTTCTAGTTTTGTGAGGCACTTATGTGTTATTTCCTTAGAATCACTGAGAATGTTAGGAGTCTTGAAATCGGGATTAGTTGTTGGAAACTATTATTAGGCAATGATACAAATACTTGTCTTAAAGTATGTTGAAGGTTAAGGTACGTTGTTTGGTTCTCCTAAAACAATCATTAAAAATCGTTATAGGTTCTGGTGGTGACAGGCTGCTGTATTTGAGTTCGAATAAAAACATTTTTTTAAATTTTGCCTCATGCAGAATTTCCAAGTACATAGTATTCAGCTTCAGTGCTAGAACAAGCCACATTGTTGTTGTTTGTGACTGTACCAATTTACAATGCAAAAGCCGAACCTACTCAGAAACTCTGAATATGACTTTCGATAAGTCTTATTCAGCCCAATCTGCGTCAAATGAGATTTCAACTTTACTACTACCTCTACTAAAATTGAGCCTGTAGCTAGTTGGACCTGAGCAACTTATATAGCATATTTTTTGGTGTTTATTTGAACTAAATATGAAGAAGTCATCATAAAGTGCTATGATGGCCTTGTCTTTGTAATAGATACATTTTCAGTCTTCAATTGAGTATAGCCATTGGTAATTAAAACTTTATGCACTTTTCATTCCAGGTTCTACTGGCTTGTTTGAGTCCATACAAACTCTTCTTGAGTAGACAAACTTTGCCCCTCAATCTCAAATTCAGTAGGTTGCGCCATGCAAATGCTTTCATTACGATCTACATTGAAGAATGCCGTATTAATGCATTCGTTGATTATAATAATCTTTGGGCAAGCAGGTAATCGTTCAGCCACCGAGGTAGCTTTTGCTGTGCACAAATTAGAAAGACATTTGCTGTGTAAAATAATTCACATAGCCATGCCTATGAATGCGATTCCGGTGCGTAAGCGACGATGTTAATCTTGAGCTGTGAGACCTTAGGAGGTCTATCCATACTCGTTCCAGATCCACGCTGCGAGGCCACCGGCACAGGTTTGCTGTCTCTGATGTGGATGAACAGCCATCGACGAGGCATCTGTGAACACGAGACATATCTCTGAAAACACAAAAAGAAACAAAACAAACAAAGTACAAATCAACAAGTTGAAATTGCAGTCCCACGCCAACAAGCTGGTCGCTGATTGTTTCAGCAATAAATAATAAAAGTTTTATTAGAAATAGTCAGTAAATCTTTCTCTCGCAAAGCGAAAACAAAAACTCAGAGTTCTAGAAAAGAAAATTAACGGTCTAATTTTTTTTATGTTGGATCGGACAATCATCCTTTCTACATCGTGATTATGGTCTCAAAATTAGATTTTTTAATGTAAAATTTATTAAAGTTTTAAGTACTAAAAAAACTTATTACAACAATAAATTTAACACGTCAATTTATTATGCGTTTTAAATAATTTACACAATTTCATTCCAAGAGTTGCCGATTCTTTATTAAATTGTTAGACATATTTCATTTTTAATCTGTGTTTTTTGTGTCAAACGCTATGGGCCTCGTGACGTCCAATTAAATAAGTCCTCCATATCCAGTACGTAATTTTGATATTTAAGTTTTGAATAAAATGGATGATGAGGATGATCTTCTATGGTCGGCTCAAATACTAAAGTGTTTCCGTAGCATGCAAGAAAACTTCAACTGTCAATTATTTATTTATAGATACAAAAGTTGAAGTTGAAGTTGAAGTTGATAAAGCATTGGTTTCAGAGCTATCAGCTTAATGGTAATAAATAATCAAGAAACGCACAACGTAATATATATAAATTATAAATTAATTCGTGTAAAAAATGTAATACTAGAATGTAATCATATTTTACAATCTTTACATATTGTACAGAACAGTGTACCTAGACTTGCACTTTAATATGAACGGTACCTACCTACTGTAACGTCGATGTCGTCGATGTTATTAAAGGCAATTATGACATTGAAAGGTTAGTATCAAGTTTTCGCGATTGTTACACATTCGAAATGAAGCAGTTGTTTGTTGGGATCTAAATAGGGCATATTTAATTTTTCAAGCAAACGTTCGGGTCCTTTACCGGGCCCATGGTTCATCGATTTCTTTGAAAAAACAAATGAATACGCGATTACGATTCGAAAAAAATCATATGTCCAATTGCAAGGTTAGGTCAACATTGAAAACCTCTAAAGCACTGCGCTGTATTACAAAATGGTGATATCACTGTATGTTTATTAAAAAAGATCAAAAAGCATTGGGTAAGACATACCTAATATAATTATATTATTGAATTAGAATTGCAACAAGGACCAGCCTCCAAAAGCAAGAAGATTGACATTTGATCACTACGGTATCTATATATATACTTAAAGTATCTACATTCCTACGTTTACCCAAGTACCTACCTAGCTACTACTTCTAACAGTTAAGCAGGTACCAGTATTTTGATCATACGGCCCTCAGTTGCAATGTGGAACAATGAAGAATAGGGGCTCGATAAAGTACATTAACTTCTACGTGTAGGTTGACTCAGGGAACCGTGAAATTAATAGCTCGCATGCATTTTTTCTATTTTTTTTTCTCGCGCACAAAGCACCATAACGATGAAATTTTAAAATCGTAGCCACATTCGAATTCCACATTGATTGCGCTGATTAGCAACAGTAAATTAAAAGCAATAAATAGAGCCGTAGTAAACCACTCGCTGTTTGTAAACGTGGCCGAGAGCATGAAATCACTCGCACACGAGTCTCCGGCCGTAACAACTCAATCAGCGCGATTTTAAAATAAACTTTTTTTAAACAACAAACTTCGGGCGCGTCGAAGAAAAAATATGCCAACCGAAGGTCTTTATAATGACTTTCTCGAGAACTTGTTACATATATACATATGCGGGCATGTGTTGGTCACCAAGATTCATATGAGATGCGGTTTTCAACCTTATTTCGTAACTGTAGATTCCATACAGGAAAGTTTTGGAATGTGTCGCAATGATATTGAGTATATTGTATAGGTATTTCATACATAAAGTAAAGAAAATATGACCATTGTATTTCATTACATATAATAGTTATTGTATTATTTTAAAATGCAAAAACCTCAATAAAACCTTTAAAACTAGTCGAGTATCAAGCAACAGATCTACATATTGGAGTTTAGTTCGTCTTATCATACCTAAATAATATAGAGTTGAATTTAATTATTAACCTTATGCGTAAAGTAACATAATATCCTGTTGTCCATAACGTAGAAGTGATGGTAGGTGATTTAAGGAATTGTAATTTATTGGATTTTAAGATTATAGATTGTAATTTTATAGGCACTTACACCATGTTTCACAGCTCAGCTTCAATATTCGCAATCAGAAGCTCATGAATCAGAATCAGAAGCTCATGTATTAGGTCCGAAAACAACACAATCATTTATCTTCGTCAGAAGTGTTCTTAGCCGAAGACAGTTCTTTCGGACCGGTTGGTAAATCTAATAAAACTAAATAAGAAAGCAACAAGTCTATTTCGTTGGCCGGTGGTTATCCTCAATTCAAAATAACAGGGCTGTATTTGGGTATTTTCCCCGAAGCGTTATACTGGAGAGTCAAAGTTGATCATAAACAACAAAGCTACATATGTCTACTAAAAAATTTTTATGTAAAATTGATACTAACGTAAGTACGATAGATATCCTTTAATAAGATTTTTAAATGGGGGTCCGTCCCATTTTGTACTTCGAACCTCCAGACGACCAGTGGCTACGGGCCTGTCCTAAAGGTGGGACGGGAACGAGAGAAGAAGATATTGAAGCTGTCATCTGGGGCGGAGCGGGCGCAGGCAAAAAACACAACTCAATCCGAGGCGCGCGCGCGGCCCGACCGAACGTCTTCCTGGGCAGCACTCAGACGCACGATAATAAATCACAATTGACTAACTTTTGTGACTTACTTCTGACTAAACATTGCATTAAAATACACGGTGTTAACAACATCTCAGTTCATACAGACAGTGATCTTAAATTTGTGACGTTGGACTTAAGTGATATTTTTGTGTAAGATCGTAAAAGTTAACAAAAACAGGAGTTTCAAACTTTCCAACGAAATAAGCAATGTGACTGCGACGCCGGCGGCGGAGTAAGAGAGTTGTACGTCCATTTTTATTTTAACTTTATTTTAATAGCTATTATTAGAGGAAGGGTGATTGCATTCCACTTGCAGTGTTCAGTTACAGTGGTATGAATATAAAGATTGTCAACATTCAAAGCCAAGGCTCTACTTTCTTGTATGCTTACTTTCGCGTTTGAAATAGTCAAAATCATGTTTGTTGTTTCAATAGAATGTTTAAAATTATTAGTTTTAGTAGATACACGTACTATAATGTAATAATTAGTCAAATTTGTAAACCGTCTCTACATATTACGGAAATCGATTCTCATTCCAGATTTTTTTGACTAATACAAAATTGAGGCAGGCAGTAATATAATGGATGTATTGGTTCTTACCACTGGTCTGTGATTCTTACGTTATTAGTATATTTACTAGTAACGTAAGTAAGTAAGTAGTAGTAAGAACCACAGAATTATTGTACTTATAATGACGTCAAATCAAAATACTCTATAACTTTGTAACATGACATTGCCTCTGATAATAATATTATATATAAGCTGAATGGAGACAAAGCCGGGAATAAAATTAAGGTCGACGGAAACAATAAATCTCGCACCAGAACGGCGATATTTCAATAACAGCGATTGCACATGATAATTTCGTTGTAAATCAAAATGAAGCATATTGGTGAGGCGTCGGAGACGCATAGAAATCGCACAATTTATCAAGTTTGCGGTCGCATTGTTATGTTTGTCCTCGCTTTCCTGCGTCCTTAGCTGTCACAGACGTGAACTGAAATAATGAGATGGTCTATTAACTGTTTGACGTTAATATATCGCTACTATGGAAGACATACACAGAATTTTTAACAGGTGACGTCCGTCTGACATTAACAACAAATTTAAAAAATCTGCAAGAAAGTACCTACTTATCACGGACCACATATTTCTTCCGTTCTAATTATTCTACAAAGTAACTTTTTGCACAATACTCATACAATACTACAATAATTCTGAATTTATTAAGTAAAAAAATGTAACATTTCTCTATGAACCAGTTAACAAATATTCCGATGTAGTACTGGATTTGTATAAGAATGAATAATTTCCGTGATCTCTGCATTTGTTATTGGCGACGCGTTTGGAACTGACTGCATTTGGAATTGGATGTTTACATCCAAATCCAAAATACTTTGAGTACTTATGTATCAGCAGGTATTTTTTTCCAGTTCAAGCTGGCACGCACCCCACTTAAAGTAACAGTCATCAGTACCAGGAGATTTATTGAACTATGCTCCTTATAATAATGATGTTCATGTTTACTTAATGAACAATAGATTACATGTCTTTAAGAGGGTTTAAACTATAAGTATTGATTTGGCTCGGTGTTACGTCATCAAACCTTGTAAAACAAAGATTCCTGTTATGTTGCGTATTGTTAAAAGTTTGCAGTTTGTGTTATTGGCGACAAGATTTACTGGACAGTATTTCAAAGTCAAGACTCACGGTGTAAATGCTGCACGTGATTTGAAATCAAAGAAGGCTACTAATGATGTACAAAGATGAACCTTGAATATTTTAAAACAAACTGTTTCTTCGGCAACGAATTTGTAACGCCACGCGAAAATGAGGTTCAATTATGTAAACAATGCAGAGCGTAACCACTTTTTAGTTTAGTCGGCTATTTTCTTAATGTCTAAAACCTCTTCGCAGAAATGACTGTAACCGGAAAATTATGCTAATTTCAAGTATTCGAAGGATGACAGATGTTTAGATGTCGGTATATTTAAAAATAACTGTTGCATGGTTTGTTTTTGTTTTTCAGCAACATTAGCCAGCTGTTCTTTTTAACAAACAAATCACGTTACGCTTTAAGATAGTAAGAACCATTATTTAACAAACACTTGGTTTGACACCTTATTTTAATAATCGTGTCCACATCTGCATAGTGTGACCACAACACGATGCGTTTAGACTAAGCTATCCTAGCTATAGGTAGATATATAAACAGTTGTGTATTGCGTAGGTAGCTTTTGTTTGCACGAAGCGTTAGAAGAAATCGGATAACTTGGACAGCATCCGATGTCTCTAATCTATGTTTACTCACATAATTAACCGTGAGTTGGTCTACAAGGATATTGGGTTACACGCACTATCTCAGGCGATTATAAGACACTGCAGCGAGCTGTTTGTTTAAGCTTTCAGAAGATTTGATAGTGTCACAACGTGACATGCAGCAAGCGGGAACACGTGTCGGGTAATTGATACCACATTATCATTTGTTTACTTTATTAGTATAATGATAACTAAAAAGAGATTGGTTGCATTTTCTGTTATGCGGTTCTTAATTAACAGCGGTGTTAAAAAGTTCTTGAAGTAGGTACCTAAAAATGGTTCGAAAAACGCCAAAACCAATTCCTCATAATGTGTCACGGTCTTATTTTAATACCGCATTATCAATATTGAATTTTATTAACCCTCGACTGCATTTTCCACGGTCAGTGCAATCCAATCACGTACGAAAGTCTTTACGAGGTGTCGCGGCTACAGGGCCACTACGGTTCGAGTTTTACGACTGATTTATCGAGTGCTACCAAAACTGATCGAGCTACCTCCAGCTCTTGTTTTGGTTTTAGTCACGTGTTTGAACCACTTTGCAGCTTGTGTTCCACGAAATTTCCAAAATTAAATTAGGTGTTGAAAACGGACGCGCAATATTAAAATTGAAATATGCAAACGTCGAAACTATTTTGGGATTCAAAATACAAGCATTTCTTCATACTACCGTATATAGAAAAATACTTCCAACTGTCGAATTTTTTTTCTTAAGTAGCATTGCTAAAAAAGATGCGAGTTGTCATAAAATAATAAATCAGTGTACCCGTAGACCTCTGCAGCTGCACAACATGTCGGAAATTTGTCTCTAACTAAAAAATTAAAACCTTTCTCGGTGATTTACAGTGCTATGATTCTTAGTTTAAACTCGATATTTATAACGAAAAAAGAAGATGGTTGCACAAAAAGTAAATATCAAAATACATAACTGGGGGAATACTTCACATATATTGTCATGATAGAGGGAAGCTATACAAGTTTCTAATGTAAATGCCTATCCCAGATATGTCTACCTTTTATTTTAAATTACAAAAAATGGAACTAATAAGCAAGATTATTCAAGATGTATAAAAAAAATTATGTCTTCAGTCCCATTTCTGACTCTACTTACATAGGACCTTTTAGTAGATTTCCATTATAATTTATAAACAAAGTGTAAAGCTCAAGTAAGCGACACTTACTTCAAGGGTGTATTCACTATAGACTTGCATTGTCTAAGGATCCTTAATAGCGGCTAATGTGTTTCGTTTGAACGCTCTACTGGACAAAAACTACCTGCGTCTATGGGCTACTGTTTATTTTTTTAACAACTGCATTTTGTAAATGTGTCTCACTCGAGTAAATTCTGGAGACTCTTTTCGGTAGCTTGAAATTTTAATCCGGGGATTGTGTGTGCAAGCTTGCTTTTTATGCCGATCGTAAAAATTGGCTTTGAAGTTTTACCGGAGTACTTTTCCGTTACGTAATACCTACTTAAATACATTTATTTATAATTTGTATTACGTACGTATTTAGTTTTTTAGGCACTTGTTTGGTATTATTTGCGCAAATCCTTACAATAATCGTGTTTGTTATGTATGTAACTCTAAACATTGCATTATTATGCTAAATTAATAAATATAAATATACAGGGACTTACAGACGATTTACTTCACTTTACCAGAGCAAAAAAGAGGTGTTAATAAGAGGTATATGGAGCATTAAAGTTATTATTATTTTTAATACATATTTTACCGTTTATAAATTAAATTTGAAATTCTTATTTATTTATTAATTGCAGACAACATGTAATACACATCGAATTACAATATTACCATAATAATACACATTGAATTACAATATTACTGAAATACGAAATTACACAAATAAAATTTTGAACTAAGTTCAAACAAATTACATTAAAGTAGTTAAATTGAATAATTATAATGAAAATAATAATAATAATAAAAATAAATCTTCAAAACTTACCTAGCCGACGCATTAACGTAACCAAGGGGGAACGCTGCCAGCATCTTGGATACTGTGCCGCAGGGACTCAATTTTAGTCATATTATTCAACCCTAGTTTTAGTTTCTAGTATTTAAGCTTTTATTGTACCTTACCTGTATATTTTAACTTATTGTTTAGTAAATAAAATATCTGTTTTAAAAATAACATAATTAATAATAATAATAACGCACACACTCAACCTAGCCCCGCACTAGGCAAACCTTGTGTCGCGGGTACTAACGACACACATATAGACAACCACAAATTACACCCAAACTCACGAGAGAAATAAAGGTAGGCCATACAAATACTTTTCCTGACCCGGGAATCGAACCTGGGACTTCTGCGTGGCAGTCCGGCAAGGTAACCATTCGGCCGCGGATCACAACTACCTCATTTAGTGCCCAGAATGCTAATTACTAGGACACCAAGATCGAGAATAGTATATTTAATGTTTAGTAGAGTTTTTTGTGACTATTCGAAATCTGTTGTTAAAAACTGTCTTAAATCATCGACTTCTCTTCTTTTGCATTTTGTGCCTTACAACAACTGCCTCCATGGCCGAACAGTTACCATGCTGGACTGCCACGCAGAGGTCCCGGGTTCGAATTCGAATCCCAAGCCGGGAGAAATATTTGTATGGTCTAGATTTATTTCTCTCGTGAGTTTGGGTGTCATTTGTGGTTGTCTGTTTATGTTCATGGCATCCGCGATACAGGGTTTCCCTAGTGCGGGGCTATGCGTGTGTGCGTCATTATTATTATTCATGCTAAGGCTACAGTATTTTTAACACCAAGTGACAGGACGAACAAGTCGTGCGCTTGTTCGTAAGCGACACGCCTGTTCATAACAGTTGCAGTGCCGCACAGAGCTTTATATCGCAAAGATTTATGGGGCACTGCAACTACGCCCGTCAGTCTGTGACATAAGTTGAA